TCTTGTGATTAACTATTGTGAAGGGTATTGTTTTTCTTAGCTCCAGCTCTGTATTCTCTTTGTCACTGTAGAGAAATCCAACTGATTTTTGTATGGTGATCTTGTATCCTGCAACTTTGCTGAATTAGTCAACTACATCCAATAGTTTTCTTGCTGAGTCTTTAGGGTTTTCTAGATATACTATCATATCATCTGCATAGAGAGATAATTTTACCTCCTCTTTTCCAATTTGGATACCTGTTATTTCCTTCTCTTGTCTTATTGCTATCGCTAAGACTTCCAATACAATATTGGATAAGAGAGGTGATAGTGGGCATCCTTGCCTAGTTCCTATTCTTAAAAGGAATGCCTTTAACCTCTCTCCATTGAGAACAATGTTGGCTCTTGGCTTTTCATAAATACTTTTTACTCTGTTGAAGAAATTCCCCTCTAATCCTATTTTGTTGAGTGTTTTCATCAGGAAAGGGTTTTGGATTTTGTCAAAGGCCTTTTCTGCATCAATTGATAGGATCATGTGGTTCTTTTCTTTGCTTTGTTAATATGATGAATTACATTGGTTGTTTTCCTTATGTTGAACCTATCTTTGCTATTAAGGAAAAACATTATTGGTCAAAAACAAAGTTTAAGAATTGGAAGCCAAATGGGAAGCCCCATCAAGTTACTTTTTTTCTTTACCTTTTAGCCTCAGGGTGTTTTAAAGAAAACATTTCCCTTACTTATCATTTAAAATCAATCTTCTAAGTATCTATATTAACTGCTTCTCTCAAGTACAGATCTGACAGTGGTTTTGGCTCACGTTGCTGTATGCTAAGATGATTTTCAATGCAAAATATGAGGGGCTGCTTGGGACTTTCTTGGACCTCTGGTGATGTAGGAGATTAAATATTGAACAGCTGCAGTTCGAACCCACCAGCTGCCTTGAGGGAGAAAAATAGGTGGTTTCCTTCCTTTAAGATTTATAATTTTGACAATTCAATAGAGGCAAGTTGGAATCCAGTGGTGAGTTTCTGATTGACTTCAGGATTTAATGAGGTTTTCCAGTTTGCCGTATGATTCCTTCAGTCTCTGAGGTCTCCCTGAGCCTTGGGTCAAAATATCGTATTTCATCTTTCGTTCGGTCATCTTTCCACCAGGCTCAGTAGGATTGGGGTGATCCAGGCATTGTGGCACCTCTAGTAAAAAAATTTAAAAGGGTCCAAAAAACCCCTTAGTAATTAGGATAAACATGCTTCTAATATAATCACTATAAATAAAAGTGAATGCAAAAATTCCATAATGCACAGAATACCCAAAAGTTTAAATAAAGACACAATCTACCTCTGCAGCTGGAGGACTTCAGAACTATGGGCGGGCGGGCGGGGGGAGAACCAGGTTAGGGAAGTGGCAAACTCAACACTATGAATTAATTTTGTGAGATTTAATATACTAAGTTTTTTATTTCATTTTTTCCCCAAAATATTAATATTCTGGGAAAACATTAAATGTCATAATGTACAAAGAAAATATGCACATGTTTTTATAGTTTACCACGGTTCAATAAGGCATTGGAGCATACATGTGAAACGGAGGTTATAACACCAGTGCTCTCGATATTTGATGTTTTGGCAAAATTGAAAGTTCCTCTTACACATTTGATCATTTTAAGAAAACAAACTTATTAACTAAAACCAAACCAAACCGACTGCTGCCAAGTTGATTCTAACCCACAGTGACCGTCTGTTGGGTTTCTGAGGTTGTAAATCTTGACAGGAGGAGACAGCCTGGACTTTCTCTCATGAAGCAGCTGGTGGGTATAAACAGCTTACTTTCTTGTTAACAGAACAACATGTAGTGACCACATCACCAGGCTTCCTTTAAGAAGGTAAGCTGTAATCACTGCCTTCTACTTTAGCTGAGTTTGTAACTCTTTAGAGACTAGAAAGTAAAGACTAGAAGGAAGCAATATTACTGTATTTCAACACTATTTGACTTTAAAAATGTCCTTTTGATTGAGATGAGGTATGTGTATTTTCTTATACTATTTTCACATGTTTTCATAATCTATTGCCATCAACATAATAGCCTATCATAAGTCTGACTGGGTAAAACTGATTTTGTAATGAAGTAAATGGTGAACTATCATGGAACACATTCCTGTTTAGGACTATGGGAGCTCTGCTCTTTAGAAGAATCAAATATTAAAAATGTAAGGATCATTTAATGATCTCTCTGCCCTGAATATACCTTAATTTTTTTTCTTTAATGTTCTTTTTTGAAAACGATGTCACAGCTCATTAAAAACTGCTTATAATTTTGCAATTATTCTTTAGTGGGGGTTAAAAAAGCTGAGTTTCAACATGAGTTTTAAGATACATTTTCATTTTAGAAATTAAATATTTACGTAATTATTTTTTTTGCTGTTATTAATGAGATCCAACTCCCTCACCAGTGTTATGGTTTATTCTGCATAGGCAATTTCCTGCCATTACACTAGTTCTGATGGCCACTACATTGATGTAAAGGGCACCAGTCAAGAAAACATCGAGAAGGAAGTTATAAAATTAGCACATAAATTTCGTGGACTGGAGGTTGACAACATCACCCTGAAGGTATGTCTGTGTTAAATGAAATGGTAAATATCTCTGTTATTAAGCACCTTGTTTTCTGTACATTTTTATTGTTGTTAGTTGCCATCAAGTCAAGTACCACTCGTAGCGACCCTATGAACAACAATCAGATCTGAACTCTGACCTATCCTGTGACATCCTCACCACCTCCGATACACTTGCAGTGCCTATTCCTGCAGTCATTGTGTCAATCTATCTTGTTGAGGGTCTTTCTCTCTTTTTGCTAAATCCCTATTTTTCCACGTATGATATCCCTTCCAAAAGAATAGCCTTGCCTAGCAACAAAGCCCAGAGTATGTGAGATGAAGCTTTATCATCTTTGCCTCTGAGGAGTAAACACTCTGGCTGCACCTTATTCAAGACATACTTGTTTGTTCTTTTGGCTGTCTATTGGATATTCAGTGCTCCTCTCCAACACCACAGCTCAAAGGCATCAGTTCTTTTTCTGTCATCCTTATTTACTGTTCTGTTCTGTTCTGTTCTCAGACACATAGCAAGTGATTTAAAAGACTTTATGCAGATATATAATAATTTTCATACGTACCTAGTAGGAAAGTGGGACATAATTATTCCCTTGGGTGTAGAACCCATTTCAGAGAATTCACTAAGACACAGTTAGGATGACAGTGGCTTTCAGTTTGTTCCTGCTTCTCTCATGCTGGGAACCTCAACAGATTCACATTCCTTCTGTATGTTTGGGGTTTTCCTGTGGACATGACAGATAAGAAAAGAATGGAAAATATTTCAATATGCTTTTTGCATTAGGAAATCTACTAAGACTTCTTGAAGAACAATTCTTGAACAAGTTTTTGTTTTAGTCTGTTTACATCTGGAATTTTCTAAGAGACATAGATTGCATGTAGCATAGATTCAGGATCACTAATGTTTTTTGGTAGGGTTGGCTGTGGTAGCCTAGTGGGGAACGGAGTGCTGCTAATCCAAAAGTGAGTGGTTTGAATCCACCAGCTGCTCTGGAGGAGAAGAATAGACAGTCTCTTCCCATGCAATTTACAACCTCTGAAATTCACTAGAGGGTCAGCGATAAGTTGGTTCTGACTCAATAGCAACAATAACAATAACAAGAATTTGTATTGATAGGAGGCCTGAGGCAGTTTTTCATAAATTGTTGTTGAGTACTGTCAAGTCAGAACCAACCCATAGCTAGCCCTCCAGGGGTTTTCAGAGGCAGTTAATTGCAAGGGAGGAGATTGTCCATCCTTCTCCCACAGAGCAGCTGGTGAATGCAAACTATATGCCCTAAGTATTGCATGCTTTCCTAACTAATACATATAACTTCTAACTATTTGTATGTAACTGATATATATACAGTAAACGGTGCTGATGGTTTATACACAGTTGATTAATCAAGTCAAATAAAGAACATACACAGTTGTCCATCAGAACCATATACAAAATATATAAAAATCATACACAAAAAAAGGGAAACTAAAGGTTCACGTCCATAAACCAGTGAAACACAAAATCAAGCCATAGAAAGAATGAAGAAAAAGAAGAAACCTGATGACTCACAAAACTAAATGCAGGCATTCTCTAGCTTACAGGTGAGTTCTGTGCACACATCTGTCTTCAAGTCAAATCTGTATGTAAGTTGAAACATTAGGTAAAGTTCTTATCTAGTCTCAGGCAAATATTTGTCTCAAATTATAGCATATAGTGTACCATCGTATGCATAAAAACATTAAAGAATACTTCTGGTTACACTAACACATCTTAATCCAGTTAAAAAAAATAATGCTTTGATATATGTTGTGAAACATTGTTGTTGTTAGATGTGGTCGGTGGACTGTTATAGTAACCCTAATGAACAGCAGATCTGAACTTTTTGTTTTCTTATTGTTAAGATGCAATGCACATTGAAGAGTGTAGTCTTCAATATACACCAACCACTAAAGCTAAAGATGAAGAACTGTGGATTTTACAGTTTGAAATGCATTGAATATGTAATCAAGATGCATTAGTAATAATTAGTAATACAAATTAGTAATCATAACCAGAATGCAATTCTGGGGAGATAATAATTTGTAACTAGAATGTAATTAGGGAACTCTGGTGGCCCAGTAGCAAGAAGTTGTGCTGCAGTCCCAGAGGTCAACAGCTGTCCTGCAAGAGAATAATGAATAATCTCCTCCCTTGTGATTAACTGCTTCTGAAAACCCACCCTAGCATGAGCTATATAGGTTGGTTCCGACTCTATGCTACATAACAACAGATTACAGAGGTTGGAAACAAAGAAGAAAGACTAGTAGTCAGATAATAATGACTGCAGAAACCTTTTTAAAAAAGCATAAATAGACTCCATAATGAAGGCTGCACAGTGGAGTGGACTTGAGGGGAGTGATAGCATAACAGTGAAAGCGCTTTTCTTTTACTTTTCAAGGAGAAGAGTGAATTGGGGAGGAGGGGGTGGGCAGGGATAAAAGTGCAACAATGAATGACTGGAAACCCTAAGTCTCTGTAAACTTTCATCAAAATTAATTTTTTTAAAAAGCATAAATGGGGACTATACACATGGACCTCACCTGATGGTCTACACAGGAATCTAGAATATCTGTGTGAAAGAGACTGTGGAGAAGTTCAAAATCAGCAGTAAAAATTAGATCAAGGGCTGAACATGTAGGAGATCATTAACTATGCATGTGCAAGTTCAAATTGAAGTAAAGAAGATGAAAACAAGTCCAAAAGAACCAAAATAAGGCATTGAATCCATCCCAATTATTGCAAAATCATACCTGTTTACTATTATGAACCATTGTATATACACTGGTTTTTAATATAATGAGCTTTATGGACTCATTTGTTCTTAACTGTGGGTTGTATGTAAGTCAGGCATTCATAACCTGAAGATGCCTGTGATAAAAATGGAAGAAGTAAGTAATTTCTTGTCAGTAATAACAGTCCATAAAATAAATTAAATACTGTAGTCAAGAGGTGAGGGGTAGCAAAATGGATAAAAAAGCAAGGTTCAACTGTACGCTGTTTCAAGAGTCCCACCTTAAACCAAAGGACATAAATAGGTCATTTTTTTGTGTGTTAGAAATATCTTTTGTCTTATAGTAAACAGACAAAGTGTTCTATAGATTTATTTTGTTGTTATTTTTAGGATGTTTGGCAAATGCGTGCTCGCCTCGTGAAAGGAAAAAGGACGACTCTTTGAAATACTCTTTCCTGCTACTCTTTTGAAAGAAACCCAACCAACACATGGTTTTAAGGAAATTGCTTTCTTGATGATGTGATTAAAACTTTTCTAGCCCTTGTTAACCAAATAAAAACTCAGGTACTGGACAGTATATGGGTATAATGTCTAAAGAAAATTCTTGCTTAATAAAATTGTTTCATTGTCTCTGTCACTTGTTAAGATGCAAAAAAGCATTTTGCTGTCATTCAATTGCATGCGGTTGTCTTACAGTGCAGTGATGCTGCTTGGACAAATGTAAACACCATCCAAATCCAAACCTATTAATGTCTAGTAGATTCCAACATGTAAGGAACTCTACAGGACAGATTAGAATGACCCAAGAGGGTTTGCAAGGCTATAATCTTTAGAAATGGAAATTGTCACATTGTTCTCTGATGTATTCAAACCACTGACATATTTTAGCAGATGAGCACTTAACCTACTGCACCATTAGGGCTTTGGGTGTAAACCTAGTAAGAGGGAAATGTTAATATGGTAATGAAAACAAACTTAAAGTTACAAGCAATAAAGGTGATTGATGGATTCAATGGTGTCAAATCAGTTTCTTTCATCAAATTAGCTTTCTCCAAGCAGAAATGAATGCTGTGAAACTAAGGGATTGTTACATTTTCTATTTCCTTCTAGACTCATCATCTGTTCATTTCACATCATGAGGAACTTCTTTTCAAATCTAGAAAAAGAGTGGGGTCCAGTGTGGCATGTCTGAGTCTGATTTCTTCTAACTTCACAAAGGGGAGCTGCTTCCATCAACAACATTCTCAGTACCATTTATGAGGCTACACATAACCTCCCCCACCTCTCTGAACCTTCCTTCACCAATTTTAACACTAACTACCCCTCCCAAGGCTTTCAGTGGGTCTCAAAGTCCATTACAATAGCCACACTGAACTCAGAACCATACTACAAGTTTATCTGACTGACCTGTAGCTGACTCTCCAGCAGATTTTCAGAGGCAGTTAATTACTTGGGAGGAGATTGCCCATCCTTCTTCTGTGGAGCAGCTGGTGGATTCGAACCACGTGCCTTCGGAATTGCAGCACAGCTTCTTGCCACTAGGCCACCAGACAATTTTGGTCAGCAGCACGATACAATTCTTCAGTCAGGCACATGTAACAAAGGGCATCAAAAAGACATTGAGGAGTGACAGAAAGGTGCTCACTCACATTTTGGCATAGGCTTCCTTCTGGTCACCCTCCTTTGTGTCTTTCCAAGTCCTGTTCTCTGTTCCTGCAGAATGAAGAAGATAACCTTTAACTGAGACTGGTCTTGGGTTTGGTTGTTATTATATGACATCAAATCCACTACAACAACAGATCTGAACTTTTCGCTTTCTTGTGCCTCTCCGTTCTATGACAGGTTTAGAAGCAGGAGTGGCACCCACTTCCTAAACAACATGTCTCCAGAAATTCTATGGACTTTGATGAATGTTGATGGTTGTAGAGGGACTTTAGGCCTTTTGTTCACAGGGTCACTATGAGTCATGCTTGACTCGAAGGCAATCAACAGCAACCACGTGATCTCTGTCATGCTTAGGCCCATTATTAAAACTATTGTGTCAGTCCGTCTTGGTGAGGATTTTCCTTTCTTTCTCTGACCTTCTGCCTTTCCCAACATAATGTCTTTTCCCAAGGACTGGCCCCTCTTGACAACATTTCCAGACTATGTGAGACCGTGTTTCATCATCCTTGCCTCTGTGGAGGAACCTGGTTGGGCTTTCTCCAAGACAGATGTATTTGTTCTTTTGGCAATCCATGGGATGGTCAATATTCTTTACCAATACCACAATCCAGAGGCATAGATTCTTCAGCTTCCCTTATTAACTGTCCAGCTTTCAGATGCATCGGGAGCAATTGAAAAGACTGTGGCTAAAGGACAAATACTGCATAGTGCCACTGTTATAAAGCAGGAGGACTGACATCGGCGATGGGGGGAGACTGAGATAAAGGGGATAAACAATGTATACTGCATTGAAACAGATGAGGAGAAAACTGTTTAAAAGGGATATGTGATTAGGTTAGGTATTATTGTCATAACAGGAGTCCAGAACGAAGGCTGCATAGTGGAGTGGACCTGGGGGGAGGGATTGTAAAACAATGAAAGAATTTTTCTTTTACTTTTCAAAAAGAAGAGGGTACTGGGGGGGGAGGGGCAGGGAGAAAAGTGCAACAATGAATTAATAGAAATCCAAAGTCTCTGTAAATTTTCATTGGAATTAATAACAAACAAAATGTTAAAAAAAACAAAAAAGACTGTGACTTAGATCAGGGCCACCATAGTCTTTAAATGAGCATCTTTTTCCTTTAGCACTTTGGAGGGGTCTTAGATAGCAGATTTTCCCAATGCAACATGCCTTTTGATTTCTTGACAGCTGCTACCATGGATTTTGATTGTGGATCCAAGTAAAATTAAATAGTTTGGGTTTTGTTGTTTTTTTTTTAAATGTTGCATTATGTAGGAAAACTGAAGACCTCATATTTATTTTAAGTGAAAGTTAACCTCTTCCAAGGGAAAGGGACATTATGGATACTTTTAATTTGGATTTTGAGTAAGCATGGACTTGGCAAATTTCTTTTCATTTCGCCCCGTGTTTCTGTGTCAGTTGAGGGCAGTAAGGAGACAGTCTTTAAGGGGAGAGAAATGCTAGTTAGGGCTCTAATAAAGAAGAAATAACAAGAGTCTCTGTCATTCAGCCAAGCACAAGTTTTCCCGAGTCTTCCACTATTTTTGTTTGTTCCTCTGGATGACTCTTGAATGAAAGAGCTCTGTATCAGCTGGAAATGGGGCACATAGGTCCCAGACAGTCTAAGGAGACTCAATCAGAGAATGATTGCAATAGAGTATTAGGCAGGCAGGCTAGTATGAACTATGTGAATGGAGCAGAGTTGTTCTGAGACAAACTTTTGAATAGTTTCCCATTTAACATAAGCTTGAAAAACAGAACTTTAATAGAAAATAGAAGATCCCAAGATGTTTTTATTTTCCAGGTGCATTTTTACAGGAAATATCTTGAATGCTGGAATTAGGAAAGATTCGTTTCAGATCTTATCTGTGTCCATTTTGTGCATGAATTTTTCTAACAGATATTCAAAGAGTAGCAAGACTGTGCATACAATCTATCCACAGTGTTTAGGTGATCAGCTTCTGAATGGTCACAGCCTTGAAAGTCCTGGAGCAGAGTTCTAATCTGCACATATGGGGTCACCGTGAGTCAGAATCACATCAATGGCCACTAACAACATTGCATATCCCAACAGCCACCCATGTACTAGGACTGCATGTGACAGGAAAACCTCAGGACCCCCTGGGCCTGCTGGTGTTGACCGTGAGAGCACTGCCCTGCGGGAGGTGGGAATCAATAGTACTTGAAAGATTGAAGAGACAGAGCCAGCTGTCACACGACCTTGGCAGGGATGAGAAAAAGCCTGGGTTCTCAGATTGTTGCTTTTGGATGCTGTTGATTGTGATTCCTAGTGCCCCCATGTTTGCAAAGCACAATTTCCAAGGCTGTGGCCTTTCAGAAGCAGGTTGGACACCCAATCTTCTTAAGTACTTCTAAGTGGGTTCGAATCACTAATCTTTCAAATAGGAGTTTTGTGCTTAACTATTGTTCTTCCCCAGGGATGTTTTCTTAGAGAGTCTCAAACCTGATTAAACCCACTGCCACTGAGTAGGTTTCAGCTCATACTTATCCTCCATCAGGCCTCTGAGGCTGTAAATTTGTACAGGAGGCGGCCACCCACCTTTCTCCTGTAGAGTCATTGGTGGACTTGAACTACTAACACTTCAGTCACAACACACATCATATTACATCACAAGGGAAAGAATTAGTCCTGGGCTTAAATTCCCTTCTCCAAAGACTAATCTGAAAGGAATATGTAAGTTACTTTGTAAAAGTGCACACTAAAACACTTCCTTCTATGCATTTAGGCGACTAGTGAAGAGCTCAGGAAAATCAGGGGCTTTGCCCATAAGATCTGCTTGGAGTTCCCTTATTAAAGCCACATATTCAAATGCCTTAGTTTGAAAAGCTTCCGATTGGCTCAACAAAACATGGTAACATTTCTAAAAATCACTTTGACTAAAATCGTCCTAGGGAATTCAAACCAGCTAACCCCAAACTTGGCCAACTGAGTAGAAGAGATCTATATTTGTTGCCATCCCAAAGAAAGGTGACCCAACAGAGTGTGGAAACTATAGAACAATCTCATTGATTTCACATGCAAGCAAGATTCTACTGAAGATTATCCCAAAACAACAGGAACAGCACATCAGCAGAGAACTGCCAGAAGTCCCGGCTGGGTTTAGAAGGGGTTGTGGTACTAGGGATATTGTAGCTGATGTTAGATGGATCTTAACTGAGAGCAGGGAATACCAGAGGAATGTATATCTGTTTTCATTGACTATGCAAAGGCATTTGACTGCGTGCATAATAACAAACTGTGGCTGACTCTGAGAAGAATGGGAATCCCAGAACACTTGATTGTTCTAATGCGAAACCTATACTTGGACCAGGAGGCAGTGATCAGAACAGAGCAAGGGAACACTGCATGATTCAAAATTGGGAAGGGTGTACACCAGGGATGTGTCCTATCTCCATACCTTTTCAACCTGTATGCAGAACAGATTATCCAGGAGGCTGGGCTCTATGAGGAGGAATGTGGGGTCAAGATTGGTGGAAGATCTATCAACAATCTGCGTTATACAGATGACACAAACCTGCTTGCTGAAACTGAGGAGGACCTGAAGCCCTTGCTACAGAAGGTCAAGGACTGCAGCCTCCAATATGGATGGAGGCTCAATGTCAAGAAGACAAAGATTCTCACCATTGGGCCAAGTGGCAGCATCAAGGTGGATGGTGAAGAGATTGAGATTGTTCACAGCTTTAGTTTGCTTGGCTCCACCGTCAACACTCTTGGCACCAGTAGCCAGGAAATTAAAAGGCGCATTGCCATGGGAAA